AAAATTTTAAATGAAATGTCAATCGCTATCTACTATCCTCTCGATTACTCTTCTTTCGTTCTCACTTCTCGGTAATGTTTCTGTTTTCTAATACTGCCACACCCAGTAACCCCTTGTGTCTTAGTGGCTTTACTGCCTTTCTTGAGGTGAACGCGATTAAAAAAATATAACAGTGAATGCTGCACAATTTTCTCAAAGATGAAGTTGGTTGGTTGTTTTTTTTTATTTTATGCTATATCAACCTCAGTAGATCATTTAATGCCAACAACATTTTTGAAATAGATTCATAGCAATAGTTTGGTAAAAAAAGGTGTGTGTATATATATATACATATATATTTGAACCATTTTTCAATTACTCATATTTTTGAGTACGATCACATGTATTCCTGGTAATATATTTTTTTTTTGCTGGTAATATTTAAAAAAAAAAATATTGCAGGTAATTTTTTTTTCTTCAAAAATTAATTTCTGGTAATAATTTTTTACAAAGTATTTCTGGTATTAAAACCTATTTTTACACTTTTATAATGCTTTTTACCCCAGTTTCGGGGTTAACTATTTGCCGATAGCTGGGACCCTAACAAGTGCTACCACCCCGGGTTAGGGTGGACCTCGGAACACTAAACAATTAAGAGGTGGTTCCACGCTCCTCAAAACCTCCTGATCAGAGGCCTTGCTGTTGGACGTAGTTTATCGTCTTACCCTGGACACGGATGTAGTTTACCGTCATACCCAGGACGCTCAAAGATGAAGAAAAGACTTGAAGCTAGAGAAATGTGGTTCTACAAAAAGTTAATAAGGATACCATGAGCCTAATTGTTATGGGATCTTACCAATAATAATAATAATAATAATAATGGACTATTCCATACTTAATAAATACTGCGCCTCAGGAGTATTTCAAGTCGAGTCAGTAGTTCAAGTCGAGTCAAGAGTCGAGTCAGAGGCAGTCCGAAACAGAGACGCGTTCAGACAATTACTGCAAGATATTGGAATAGTGATACTGGTCGAGACTACATTGTTCTCTCTACTAAACCTGATTGTTCATATTAACGCTTCTACTTCTCTGTATATATTCCTGTTTGTAATATATCTGTGTTATTCCATACCTGTGTTCGAGTTCTTCTTTATTGGTTCTACCTTGGACTATCACCGTGGTACAAGGAACCGGACCATAACACTAATATATGAGCAAAGACGAAGAGGAAAACAAAATGGAAACTTCTACTTAACATCAGGAAGTGACAGTTGAAATTTATAGGACACATGACGAGGAAAGACGACTTGGAAAATTTGACACTCACAGGAAAGACTGAAGGCATGAAGGACAAAGGAAAATAAACGCATAACATTGTGAGCTTGAGTAAATTGATGGCGGAACAAGGTTTAAAAGAAATAGCAAAAAGACAAAAGTTATTACGCCCTACAAAGAACAGGAAATTGTGTAGAGCCATGATCGCCTACGTCATGAGGTGACAGGGTACCTGAAAAAGGAGGTTCCAATGATGACTACTATCTGAAGGATGGAGAAGGTAATGGTCTTCGTCGATGTCTACAAATGATTGAATTTGTTGAACTGTATGATTTTTTATTGTTTCAGAAACTGATAATCAAATTTATCTTAAGTGAGAGTTTTGCCTGAAAGCTTGTAATGTGTACGATTTTATAGTCATTGATTGATTCGTTTTCTACGGGTTATCAACCCTTTGTAAGAAAGTTTTTTTTATCTTTTGAAGATAATAATGTTTTTTTTTTGTGATACAAGGCTTGCTAATTAACCCATAGTTAGGGAAGTTAAGAAATAGATTTATATCTTTCCCAAGGGTATCTGTGCGTAAGAGAATATAATGAACACGACTTGAATTCGATCTAGGTTCAGAATATTTTGGTTTGTTTATATATATATATATATATATATATATATATATATATAATTGTGTTTTCTTTTTTAATAGCCCAACATAATTTATTATTATTATTATTATTATTAAACGTTTTATTTAGTTAATAAACCTTTCAGCTTATATAAGCCATTATCAAAGTTGACAATTACATTTCAATACATTAAACAATACACGGACAAAACAATAATCTGTTTTTGTTGCATAAAAGATTTCCAAACAACGACAAACTCGTGTATACGAGACGCGGAAGCGAAAGTCGCGCCGCAACTCGTGACGTCACACATGACCACGCGAGAGTAAAACGAGAAGATATTATTGGTCCTGATCTTGAGGTGATATCACTGTTTTTATAAACAGTGTAATTGAAGTCTGCCGGCTTGGGTAATCAAAAATCCTAATAAAATAAGGCGCATTTCTATTACAACTTCCCATTGGACAGGCTGTTAGACGTTAATAAGCTTTTTCAAAATGCAGAGATTATTAAGGAAATGCACTAGGCTGCACTCCCGCGTGATCACTGCACAATTACACGCTAACAGGTACAGACACTCGCAGAGTTCTATATCAATTTCCACCAACTTATTCAAGTTATTTGAGGCTTTAACTTCTCAGTGGTATGAGGCTTTTCAATATCCTAGCTAACGAGCTTGTGTAAATGGTTGGTAAAATAGGAATTAAGAAGGATAGGGAAAAGACAAAACTTACCAAGAACTATTTCAACTGCAGGGCATTGAATGAGTCATGATCTCCCACGTCTTGAAGGGATATAACATAAAAGAAGAAAAAGTAAAGCTTGAGAGAAATCTAGTGGTGTTCCCACCATTAACATGATTTCCAAGATTCTGGCCGCTACTCTTTATATATCAATATCTATCTATCTATCTATCTATCTATCTATCTATCTATCTATCTATCTCAATCAGTCAGTCAGCCAATCGATCTATCTATCTATCTATCTATCTATCTATCTATCTATCTATCTATCTATCTATCTATCTATCTCAATCAGTCAGTCAGCCAATCTATCTATCTATCTATCTATCTATCTATCTATCTATCTATCTATCTATCTGTTTGTTTGTATCTATCTATCTATCTATCTATCTATCTATCTATCTATCTATCTCAATCAGTCAGTCAGCCAGTCTATCTATCTATCTATCTATCCATCTATCTATCTATCTATCTATCTCAATCAGTCAGTCAGTCAGCCAATCTATCTATCTATCTATCCATCTATCTATCTATCTATCTATCTATCTCAATTAGTCAGTCAGTCAGTTTATCTATCTATCTATCTATCTATCTATCTATCTATCTATCTATCTCAATCAGTCAGTCAGCCAATCTATCTATCTATCTATCTATCTATCTTTGTTTGTATCTATCTATCTATCTATCTGTTTATGTTTGTATCTATCTATCTATCTATCTATCTATCTATCTATCTATCTATCTATCTATCAATCAATCAATCAGTCAGTCAGTCTATCTATCTATCTATCTATCTATCTATCTATCTATCTATCTATCTATCTATCTCAATTCAGTCAGTCAGTCAATCTATCTATCTATCTATCTATCTATCTATCTATCTATCTATCTATCTATCTATCTATCTCAATCAGTCAGTCAGCCAATCTATCTATCTATCTATCTATCTATCTATCTATCTATCTATCTATGCTTACGGCGACATCGAGTTGAATAACCGCTCCCCGTACGATCATCGAAGTTAATGAAATTCGTGTCTGGTCAGTACCCAGATGGATGACCGCTTGGGAATAACAGGTGCTGTGTGGCGTAATGCAAAATGGCTCGGAATTGTTAATCGCAGGGCCGAGTTCCAGTTTCACATGGGTTGTTATAGTCACTTACACCCAAATACATTTACGAAGGTAGGAATCCACCTCTCCTCCCTCCAGCTATGAGTTAATTAGTAATTCTTGTATCACTAAAACCGTTACTATTTTTACCAAAAAAGCCTTACAAACTAAAAATAATGCATGGCTTTAATAACAAGCAAAGTGTCAGTAAGACGTACAAAACAAATCTATCTATCTATCTATCTATCTATCTATCTATCTATCTGCTTGTTCGTATCTATCTATCTATCTGCTTGTTCGTATCTATCTATCTATCTATCTATCTATCTATCTATCTATCTATCTATCTATCAGCAACAACCTTTAACAATATACGTTCACATATAAGATAAACATGCATGAACATTCACTGATATAGTTTTCTTTTTTCTTCCTTTGTCAGTTAATATCTATCTATCTATCTATCTATCTATCTATCTATCTATCTATCTATCTATCTATCTGCTTATTTGTATCTATGTATGTATGTATCTATCTATCTTCGGTATTTAGTATTATTGACGATTTGAAATTTCCTTTTGCTTTCCACCAAATTCGGCGCCAACCCAGAATTCGAGAGTCCCAACTATAAACGTGTGTGTGTATACACATACATACATATATATATATATATATATATATATATATATATATATATATATATCAAATTTTCATTATTCTGAGGTCTAGTTTTATATATATATATATATATATATATATATATATATATATATATATATATATGTATTGTTTCTTAGTTTATGGGCGGAAGCGTTCATTCATAAAAATTGTTTCTTTTTTTATTAATATTCCGAATCATATATAAGATAAACGACCAATATGGGACACCAGTCTCCGTTGGCTACCTTGATTTGGATTCGGTCAGTCGCTTTCTGAATTGTTCAGCCGTGTCTGATGGTGATGGAACGTTTGACGGTAGCCAAGCTATTGGGAAAGATGCAGAATATGCGCACAAGTTTTAGTGACACTCCATTTAACTGTAATAAAGATTGCTTGGTGGACCCTGGGGTCTAGATGAGGGTAGTCGGGCTATTAAAAACAGTGGGGTAAGTGACAACAGAGACCCAGATGCTGCTAATAACCGCGGGGCACGGGAATAATTTGAACAGAAATAGAGATGGCGCGCGAGAGTAAATGTTTGTATGTATGTGCGTGTATGTACGTAAAAGAGAGATGGCGGATGTCAGAGAGAAATTGAGATGACGAAATCAAAAAGAAAAGATGAGAGAGGGGAAGAGAAAGCTAGAAATCGAAAGAGGGACAATAGAGAGGTTGTGACAGAGAGATGTAGAGGAAGATAGTGAAGCTACGAGGAAAAAGGCAGAGAAAGAGAGAAAGGGGGAAGAAAAAAAGCTAAAATGGTTGAATTATATAGAAGAAAGTCAAAGAGAGATAGGGAGAAGAGAGACAGATTGAGAGAAAGTGAGTAGCGTAAGAGAATGAATGTCTGTGTGTATGTGTGTGTGAGATATATGGATATATATATATATATAGAGAGAGAGAGAGATAGATTGAGAAAGTGACAGAAGGAATGAAATGGAGGTAAAAAAACGCCGTTAGAAATGAAAAAAGATATAGAAAGAGAGAGACTAGATAGAGAAGACAGAGAGAGAGAGAGAGAGAGAGAGAGAGAGATGAAAGATGCGAGAAGAAAAGAAAGAGAGAGAGAGAGGGAAAATGAGAACGGTAGGAATATAGAGAAGGAATGGAAAGGGAGAGGGAGAAAGAATAGCACAGAGATAGCGTGATATTAAGGTGAGTAGAGAAATGGGGACAGATGAATGATGATAGACAGTGTGATAGATAGATAGACAGAAAAGATAGATAGATAGACTGAGATAGATAGATAGATAGATAGATAGATAGATAGATAGATAGATAGATAGGAAGAGACTGCGATAGATAGATAGATCGGAAGAGACTGAGATAGATAGATAGATAGATAGATAGATAGATAGATAGATAGATCTATGTTATTCCATACCTGTATTCGAGTTCTTCTTTAGTGTTTCTACCTTGGACTATCACCGTGGTACAAGGAACCGGACCATAACAGATAGATAGATAGATAGATAGATAGATAGATATATAGATATGCAGTGAATGAGATAGATAGATAGGTAGATAGATATGGAGAGAATTAGATAGATAGATAGATAGATAGATAGATAGATAGATAGATAGACTGACTGATTAATTCAGATAGATAGATATTTTGAGAGATTAAATGTTTGAAGCAGATAGATAGATAGATAGATAGATAGATAGATAGACTGACTGATTAATTCAGATAGATATATAGATAGATTAAATGTTTGAAACAGATAGATAGACAGATAGATAGATAGATAGATAGATAGACTGACTGATTAATTCAGATAGATAGATATATAGATAGATTAAATGTTTGAAACAGCTAGCTAGCTAGCTAGATAGATAGATAGATAGAATGACTTACTGACTGACTGACTGACTGAGAAAGAAAGAAAGAAATAAAGAAATATAGAAAGAAAGAAAGAAAGAAAGAAAGAAAGAAAGAAAGAAAGAAAGGTGGGGGAAGTGACAGACGGTATTACATAGAGGTTAAAAGGAAACAAAGGCGGGAAATGAAAAGCAGAGATAAAAAGATAGAGAGAAAGTAGATCGAGACTAATAGCAAGAGGGAGACGAAGATGGCGAAAGTAAGAGAAGAAGAAGAGAGAGAAAACAGGATGAAAATGCAAAAGACAGAATGAAAGACAAAGAGAGAGAGAGAGAGAGAGAGAGAGAGAGAGAGGGGTGGGGAGAGCAAAGGGATAGAGCGAGAGACTGTAGGGAAAGCGAACGAGTGTGTGTGTGTGTTTGTGTGTAAGTGTTTATTTTTGTTCGTGTCTAAGTAACATAAACTGAGAAAGTAGAAGGAATTGGATAGAGGTAAAAAATAAACGAGGTGAGAAAGAGAAATCCAGAGATAAAAATATTAAAAGCAAAGCAAGGCAACGAAAGTAAGAAGTGAAAGAGAAATGTATAGTTTAAAACAATAAAAGAGGAAGAAAGCGAAAAAGACAAAAGAAATATAGAAGGACAAAGAGAAAAAGAAAGAGCAGATTGATTGAATAAGAAACTGTATGGAAAAGAAAAAGATAGATAGATAGATAGATAGATAGATATACAGGGTGCGATGGATGAATTGTCGTCTAAATTACGCAAAAATGAAAAAAACACTGACATCTCATTTTAACACATATATTTACCAAAATTACACAAAAAATATCATGAAATACTTAACAGCAAATTTATTCAATATAATCGCTATTGGGTTTAACCTCGACCTCCTGACGTCTTCGGAATCTGTTGTAAAACTTCTGGACGGTTTCCTTGCTTAAACTGGTGAATGCTGCCATAATCCTTGCTTTCAGTTCATCTTTGATGTTACAAGGAGCGTTGCTCGTCTCTCGCTCAACTGCGCCCCACACATAATCATCAAGGGGATTGCAGTTTAGGGAGTTACGTGGCCAGATGTAAGGGGAGATGTGGACGGAGAAATTGTCTGACTGGGTTCTCCTGCTTGTGTGGCATGGTGCAGAGTCCTGTTGCCAGAAATCGCATCTTCCAGCAGACACCCTCTTGACCCAGGCAGTACTACCTTCTCAAAGCATTTTATCTAGGCATCTATATTTCTTCTGAGGTCCTCGTCAACAAATTCTGGAGTTCTTTTCTTATCAGAAAGTTCAGAGTGAATTTTCCAAGCTGCCATAACTTCGTAATCACCATTAGACCCATCCAACTCTTTCCAAATCCTCTGCACCGTGTTCAGATTGATACCCAAACAATCTGAAGTGTTCGTATTTGAGCTTCCGGCGTGAATGCCAACAGGTACTGCATGTTGTTTCCAAATTTCTGACGGATTGAATTGCATTGAAATGGTGCTCTTTTTCTCACAGACGGTGGTCAACTGACCTTACTATACTGTGTAGTCAGCAAAATAAAAAAACAAACAAAGCGCATGCGCGAAATTTAAAATATAAAATTGCGAAAATTTATCCATCGCCCTCTTTTTATAGAGAGAGAAAGAGAGAGTCGAAAAGTAAGAAGGACTATTCTTTTTAGAAATATAACCAATTTTAAACTATATATATATATATATATATATATATATATATATATATATATATATATATATATATATTTGGTTGGATTGATGTGAGTTTGTGACCCTGGGTTTCACGCACTTGCGATCGTCAGCGACGTTACTCGCTCACTTTCTGGTGTGACTGTTCGGTTCAACTCCTTCCTACGGGCGGGAGGAACCCGAAGGAGGCTACGCCGAAGGGCGGAGTCTCCTTCGGGGAGGTTAAAATACCCCTGAACCCGTTTATACGGGTTCGAATGGGCTATTTTTTGGCCGGGCCTAATGGCTCGGGAATGTCCAATTAAAAAGGCCTTGTGCCACATGACACCCTCGTGGGGGGTGACTAAATATCGCCAGCTGACGATCGCAAGAGCGTGAAACCCAGGGTCACAAACTCACATCAATCCAACCAAATATATTAGCTCTATCTATCTATATTTAGCACTTTCTAATAAGTAACGCGCATATAATATGTAAATAATTATATATATATACATATATATATATATATATATATATATATATATATATATATATTTATTTATATTTATATACACACTTTTTACATATATATATATATATATATATATTGTTTAATCTTTGCTTAAAATAACGAAGATAGATCCCATGTAGATATAAACAGCGTGGACGCAGAAATTAGCATAGCGAGTGATAACTTCACGCTTGAAGTAATCATCGGAACAGAAAATAAACTATATGTATGTACGTGGTTCAATGTGATTTTATAAGCAATTTTGTAACAGTTATAAACTAAGTTTGATTTCCTTGCTTTTTCCGACGGCAAATGAAGCATCTCTGTCTCGCGCCGCGTAGGAGGCAGTTTGCCTTCGATTATATCATTTCTCATACAAACAGGAAAACTCTAAAATTGGCAACATAATGATCCAGTAGGAAGATTGCATAGCGCCACTCATTAGAAGGGCTAGGTATTTTACTGAAAAATCTGCAATAGAAAACCTATGTTTCGTGTCCTTATCTTTGATTATATTTACACTACGTTTTATTGATTATAGTTGTACTAAATGTATAAAGTACTGTCATTAACCCTATTACACAAACCAAGCGTATATAGTACCCAGCGCAAATTTCCCTATTTTTAGTTACAAATTTCAGTACCTGATTTTCTTACCTAAATAAGATGTTTTTCAGTTCCTATTAATGTTAACTCAAAGTACAAAGTTTGAAGTGCCTGCATGTAAAATATTTCAAATAAAGATTTATATTTAATATTTTTTTTTTGATATTTTCAAAATCGGGTAGGATATACCCATGGTTAGTAGTGGTGTAACTTTAATTGATTGTTAGTGTTCTAGGGTTAATTGTTTATTTTACTAAGTATCAAAAAGAGACAGTTGAAACTTCTGTCATATCTAATAAGAAAAGAGGGTTTGGAGAACGTGATACTCACGAGACGTACTGAACTCAAACGGAGCAGGTGAAAAGAGTGAATAACCAACGAGCTTGTGGAAATGGTCGGTAGAACAGGTACTGGAATGAATAATAAGAAAACAACTTTCTTTAAGCTATAAGGGCTAGGAAGTTATGGAGAGCCATGATCACTAAAATTACAAGTATGGAGCCAATAGGAAAGTATGTAATTATAAGACTAAATTTGAATGACGCCGGAATGGTTTCCAGAGACACGTGATGCGGCTTCCGATTTTGTCGTAAGTGAAATATTTCATTTCCATCCATGTTGCTTGACGTAGAATACAAATCAAACTCTAATGTTACAAGAAGGTAACAAATAGAATTGTAAAATGATGACAGAATATAGGATATGAAAGAAATGAAAAATAAAAAATAAAAACTGAAAAGTTAAGAAAGAAATGAAAATGAAATATGATAAATTGAAATGTGAAATATAAATTATAAATAAAATATGGTATAAAGATAAAATATACAATTAAATAATTAAATGTTGAATATAAAATGAAAATAAAGTATAAATTATAACATGAGAACAAAATATATAAAATATGATATAAAATATAGAATATGGATAAAATATAAAATGTAAAATATGAAAATGAAATTAAAAATGAACGAAAACATGAAAAGGAAAATATGACATAAGTATTAATATATTAACATATTATATTAATATTTTATGTCATACTTTCATATGATATGATATAAATAGAAATAAAATATGAAATATAGAAATGAAAATGAAATTTAAAATTTTATAATTTTTAAATCTATTTTCATTTCTACATTTCATATTATTTCCTATTGTGACACTTTTTAGGGTTGCGTGGTAAAAAAGGCGAGAATTAATTAAGTTGATAAGAGGCTATCACGAAAAGACACTGAGCGATGTTATTTTTCTAACAAAGAAAAGTGGTAAAGATTTTATTTTCATTAGCGAAGAAAGTAAGATCTCGGCTCTGTCGGATTTAATTTGATTTATGTTACAACGGAGCGAATAAAAGATAGCCGTCTGCCCATGGCAATAATGAAAATTTCAAATTGGTCAAGTGGCCTACAAAACAGAATGCTAAGAGATAATATTATTTAGGTCACGCACTGACCGAGAAAAATGTTAGCTGGACCACCCACAAGTTACAAAGAAGGAAAGATTAAACCATTAACTATCTGCGGAGATATTATTTGGGAAAAACACCTGTTTTATGTCAGAGCTGGCCATGATAGAAAAATTATTTTATCGGAACAGATAATTGGCTACAGAGTGCGGAAAATCATTGACCAACCTCAATGATTATTTGACGAAAATCTCGTTGACGAATTCCAGACGACGTTCGGTTAAGATAAGAGTCGTAGGGGTTTGTTGTCGGGAAGAAGAAAAGAAAGAAAAGAAAAAAAAGGGAAGATAATTTTTTTCCTTTGAGCGATAATTGCAAACACCCACGCTGCTGAGCGTTCATTGGCTGAAGGGTGGCGTGAGCGGTAGGCGAAGTTAAACTATGAAGAAGGAGGGGGGAGGCCTGTTGACGCCCACTGAAAGGGAATGGTGTGAGATGCCACTGTGAGAGAGAGGGGAACCTGTTGACGCCCTCCGATGGGATTGGTGTGAGATACCAATATGAGAGTGGGAAGAATTTGGGAGGACGATTCCCTTTAAGTAGTAAGTAAGGACTTTCAAAAATGGAAAGTAATAAATTTTCCTATCCGAGAACAAAGAAGATCCTTATTGTGGATTTAGAATTATCAAAGAGCCTCAAACCCCGACAAGCCCACCCCGGTTTTGGTCGGCGTCCATATAAGCAGAGTCGCAGCGAGTGGACGGCAGTTGGGGTTGAAGAAAGACATGCAGGCAGTTGCAGAGTGAGTAACACAGACGCAGTTGGCAGACACAGACGGAGTTAAGCTGTGAGCTCTGAGACCCGCCTCGCAGAAAGCTGACTGAAAGATTCCACGCTTCACGACCTCAACTTCTAACCAAGAACTATTTATTTTTGAAGAACGACTTAGACTCACACCATCAAAACAAGTTTTACGAATATCGCCTGAAGATACACCAAAAAACAGTTTCTTAAAAAATAACAAAAACAACTTAAGATGTTAAGACTCGCCTAACAAACACAAAGTGTCACGAATCCATATTAGCGGTTTGGGAGAAAGATGCAGTCCTGTATTCAGCAACCTGATATAAAATATTGTTATTCTTTTTTAACACATTTGAACTTTTCGAGTTGTTACTTTATTTTCTTTTACATATACTTGTGCGGTATTGCCCTTGTCCGGACTCAGCTTGCATTACGGCCCGGCGACTGATTGATTTCGTCTACCTAAGATCAAATCAAAACGTGGGTAGGTTAGACTACAAATCAAAGCAGATACTTCGGTAACCAGACGTTGGAGGCGAGCTGGGAACGACAAGGCTGATACCGAATCTAACCAGATCCCCATCCGAATCAGCAAAAGGTTAGAACGTCACATTTGGTGCCGCGACCAATACCAAGTCACATTGGTCGTCGCAGGATAGACGGAGTGTGGAGCAGAGAGACAGCACGGGGTGACGTCACACTATTTTATATTTAATATTTTATTATTTTGCATTTTATTAATATTTTTTTAAAATCCTACTTTTCTTATGTCTTATATATCATATTTTCATTATTCATATTTTTTCTGTTTACATTTTTTCTTTGGGTTTTATGATTTTACATTTTATATTTTGTCCACATCCTGCATTTTATATCATATATGTTATAAAATATGAAAAGATTAGAAAGGAAAATAAAGTATGGAATTTAAAATAAAAACAATATATGATACAAAATCTAGTATATTAGGGGCATAGCTAGTGGGGGCGGAGGTGGCTGTTCGCCACGGATGGAACTTCCGGTTCGAAAAGAAAACAATAGCATAGTTTCAATAATTTTTGCAAAAAAAAAAAGCAAGCAGCGAAAGGGAAGAAGATAGAGTTAGAATGAAGCCAATTTGTCTTTGATATGGCTGGCTCAAAGCCAGCCAAGCAGCAATAAAAAACATTGTCTCCAAAATGCGCTGTCAGCTGGTGGAGGTAAACCCCACTTACAAGACATGAGCAAAAAGTGTGAAAAAAAAAAAAAAAAAATTAAAATTTTTAAAGGGCTTGATGTGGGGATGTATTATGTAAATTTAGTGAATCCACAATTTTTTCACACCTATGGGAGAATTCCAGACTTTGGCGTCAGTGATTTTGATTTTTCATGTCTGTGAACTGTTAGTGAAAAAAAATTAAATAAATAAGGGAATCAATTGTTATCTATCTTATGATAGGCCTAGCTTTAATACGGATATAAAATCGTTACTTTTCATAAATTATAAAATACATCGATAAATAAATTGAAATAATTCCAATGTTTTAACGATATCACATGCATTTAATCTTTTTCCGAAAAAAATCGAACGGAAATCTAAAAGAAAATTGAAAATTAATATATTTTTTTAAGTGCAGAAATTTTATTTAAAGTCCCAAAATGGGCATTTTTTCAATTTCACGGTAGTAAGACAATGCAATGTTTTATTTTTTTTTAGTTTACATAGTTGAAGTTTTATTAAGCAAAATAGACTAAGAATTAAAATTATGATAACGTTTATTTAAATTTTTAAAAGTGGAATTAATTTTATCGGACTTTTAATTCTTAGTCTACTACTTTGCTAATAATAACTTCAACTACATTAAACAAAATAATTTAAAGGCATTGCATTTTCTACATTGTTAAAACAAAAACGAACCATGTTTCTGTTAAGGTGGCATTTAATCTATGATCCCCTCACTAGTTGGAATTGAAATAAATATTAAAAAAAATCTGATAAATTATGAATTCAAAGTACAATATGTTATTTTACTTTTTGTTTTTCTTTGTAAATAAAACAAAGTATATAAGCAAAAACAAGTCATTTTACTTTTAATATCGTAAAAAGTTTTTAAAGTTTTCCCAATTTAGAAAAAAAATAACATCTTCGTTTTTTACATATCCTCAGTTTTATTTAAAAAAATTAACACAATTGTACTTTTATTTCATGATTTTTAGTTAGGAATTATGACTACCACGTTAACAGAACACGAAAAAATACTGGCATTATACGGGCATTAGATTCTGAGAAACGAATAGAAATATTAAAAACTGATAGGTGTACGAATAATTTCGTCGTTGACTATATATATATATATATATATATATATATATATATATATATATATATATATATATATATATGGATGTTTCATTAAGACGGATCAAAGTCAGCATTAAATAAATCAGTGTTATTGGTGAAAATTTATTTTTCTATTTGATCATAGTATTTAAGTAATGCGAATTATATGAGAAAAATAATATCGCCCAAAATGTCCGTCAAGCCTTCGACGGCACGCCTCCACTCGATGGTCAAAAT